TGATTTCGCGAACCGCCAAACTGACGCTGGTTGCTGCTGGAGTTTCAATTACTTATGGCCTGTGGGTAGCGTATCAAAATCATGTAAATGCTGAAAAAATGGATAGATCAGATTTATAAACACTTGCGTCGCAGGGTGGTACTGTTGACGCCATACAGACTGTCGAAGCAAATGCCATTGAAGGTGGATGCTTGTCTAAAATTGATGGCAATTCAGCCTCTGCTGGCCACACTGGCCTTGTTTGGACCGTAGTGAGTGGCATCTTCTTCGTTGTCTTGGAATTGTTTTGAGATTGATGGCTGATGCCAATTAATTTAATTAAACTCAAAAATGTGACATTTTACTAAATTGGCTGCAAAATTAATTCTAATGCACGTCATGTTTTAAAAACGGAAATCACGTAAAAAAGGACATCAGTTCAAGTATGCATCTCGATGCGCATGGAATGCTCAAAAATAAAATTTACCTTCAAAGCTCCAAGTTGCATTGATTGGGTAAAGGACTACGGTCAAGTTTGGAAGGGGCATCCTTTGATGCCAAGTTGTTAGAAAATGCCCCTTTGTTGAAAACTGTACTAAAATGATGAATAGTTTGAGGAGAGGTTGGCAACCCATTCTTGGGCCATTTCAATTCTTGAACATAGCGAGAGCGAGGGTTTGATTCCTTTTTGGGAGATGCTGCAATGGCATGATGCAGAAGGCAGTAGGACACAGCCGGAACAAACTTGAGCAAGGAAGGTATAAACCAAAAAGTGATAGGGATCCACATGGTGGGTATGCACTTTGAGGATGGAAAAGGATTTTATGAGAAAATTTGAAATCTCATCAAAACAAAGCAGCACCCTTCTTTTCGTCACTAAATTTGGCTTGCAAGCTTTGGTGCATAAATTATGCAGCTCAGATGGGAAAGTGAAATACGCGTACAAAGCGATAAACACAAGAGAAAGGGCCAAGATTTTCGGCTTTCGATCTTGCAATAAAACGAGTCGGTGTATATCAGATCCAAAAGAGACTTTATCATCGGTAATAGCAGTTGGATTGATGGCAAAGTTGAGCAAAAATGGATTTCAGAACCGGTTATGATTTGAT